CTATGACCTCAATAATAAACATATAATTGAATGTATACATTTATGACAATTTCACCAAAAGCTAAAACATTTTGAGCTTCATAAACACATATGTTAAGGTGGAAATGTTGCATTGAAGTGCAAACAATTGTACAGGTGTAGCTAATAAAGCTAACAATAATAGCTAATAAAGTGGCCAGTCAATGCATCCAAAGCTATGCAAAATATGCAAACCTGTAAGGATGAAGATCAGCAGTGAAGCTGGAGAACCAGAGAGACCCAACTGGCTACAGTTAATTAAACAAAGCAACTAATCTAACATTCCCTGTAAGTATTTACAGTGAGTTGACAGTGTCAGGAAGTCCTGGAATATTTCTTCATGTAAGTCATCAATGTGTTTCTGTATGGGTCTTGCTTTTGATCCAAACTGATATAATGTCATGTGGGTGTAAATAAAACTCAGCTTTCAACCTACCGGTATAATCTGTCTGGTTTACAATACAAAGTGTTCTTTACTTACAGACAGCTGACTCAGTAAACATCTCCAAAACAGAGACTAGCTGCTGGTTGAGCCATGTCTCATTCCTAATTTATACATGTGTTGAATACAAACTATACACGATACAGCCCTGAGAAATGTATCATCCATCGATTATCTATACCATTTATTCTGAATAGGGTTGCAGAGGGGGGAAGCAGGTTTATCTATGAACCCAGTCTATCACAGGGCTGACATGTAGACAAACAACTGCACACACTCATACTCACTCCTACGGGCAATTCAGAGTCACTAGTCAACCTAAGCTGCATGTCTCTGGACTGTGGGAGGAAGCTGGAGCACCCGGAGAGAATCCACCACGCAGGCACAAGGAGAACCCAAAGAACCACAACTAGTGAAAATGTGAAGAAAATAAATGTTTGCAGTTTGAGGCTGTCCAGCCCTCAGATTAATTAGTAATGGCTTAAGTTTTAAACCTTTTTAGGCAGAATTTTCTTTTTAAAAGATAACTGACAGTCAGTCATCATGTGAAGATGACCTCCTTTAGATTGTCTAAAGGTTGATCTTGCCTCAAAGCTTATAGCAAAGCAGAGAGAAAATGCAGAACTCTGTCACCCATTTGAATGAATTCATTAGTGTAACTAATTAATGTATGATTAAAATGAACACATCTCTCTTGCTTTAGCTGTCTAAGTGGTTTTTGTCTTCATCACAGAGCGTGCAGTGATTGAGATTGTGCATTCGACTGTACACCGAGAGATGACAGGGTGCAGCGACTGTAGCAAGGGCAACGTTACAATCTGAATGAAGGGTCCAAGGAGAGAGGAGAGTGCTGTAAAGCCTGCTGAGACAAATGTGTGATTTTGTTCTATACGGATAAAACCAACTTCAAATCGGTTTAATATCTAAATCAGACAAAAGAGAAACAAGAGGAAATGAGGGGAGAAAGAGACGGTGAATGGCCACCAGGGTGTGTATATGGTATTTTTTATATGACAAAATAAATAACAGGGGTAGATTTGAAGTATTTAGATTAAGTAAAAGCATTATCTGATTTGTTTGTTTTGCATTGATGCCTCATAAATTAGATATTTAAAGTAGTACAAAATTAAAATACTCAAGTAGCAACTGTGCTTGAGGAAATGTACTTAGTTCCACCACTTCACAAAGTCAACATCTGCTCTTAAGTCCTTTCAGAGCAAATAGGTAGTCGCTGTGCTTTGGCCCATGGCAGATTTGAGCTGGAGAAGGCAGCGCCAGGCTGATTATGAACGTGTGTCAGAGGCAAAGAGCAGCGTGGGCACTGCCATGTAATGTCCAAATGCAGCAGATAGGCTAAGGAAGCCAGAGAGAACCCGCGCAGACTCAAGGAGAACATACAAACTCTGCACAGAAAGGCACCAGTCAGCCTGGGCTCAAACCCAGAACCCTCTTGCTATTAGGCAACAGCGCTAACCACTGCGTCATTGTGCCGCCCTGAAACTTATTATTAATATTAATATTTTTAAGTAACTGTTTGATAAAGCCAGCTGTGCTGATATCGATGTAAATTTTATTCAAGACTAGTTTTTGCTTCTAATCAGTAAAATATATCCTTTCCGTACGGAGAAGCTCTTATCGCATTTTTGAAGACATGGTGATTCATCAGCAGGACTTCACTGCACCCTGCTACTGCTGACAGGCTCAGCAGGTTTAGCCAGAGCTGCACTGTCTCCAGTGATGATTTATTCCTCCCAGGTTACCTTGCAGCTTGATCTTGGGGGTTTTCCCACAGGGCTTAGTGGCTGTGACAGTGGCGGCGCAGGTCGCATGTGTGAGCGCTCGCTTCAGTGTGCCCATCCTGGCCTTCTTGCCTGTCGCCAGATCACACTCCCCCCAGTCCTGGAATTCATACTTGCATTCCCCTATAACAAACAAAGAAATTAGCTTATTTGTTTAATGAAGTAACTGAGGACTGACTGAGGAGAAAACCTGGTAAAATTACATGTTGCAGCTTCTGTATTTGTTTTAAAAAGTCCAGCAGAACAAACCCCTAGAGCCTGATGACTTATAATTTACTTGGTTCTTATCCCCTTGACTTCTGGTGAAACCTCAACATGCGGCTCTCTTATTAAAAACAAAATAAAGGATGTTTATATCTTTTAGCTAACGGGAACAGATAACACTCCACAGTTCTGATTTTATTTCCTATATGATGAAACCCACTAATAAATGAATGCAATCAAAAACAGCCTGGCTGTTCAGCAGCACATCAAATACATTTCACATATGTGCTTTCTTTTGATATTAAATTTAATCCATGTAAGCTCAGCCCCAGAGGATGGATGATTGGTTTAGAAAGTGTGCACAGCGCCTAGTGTACTGTGTGTTCATGTCTCCTCTATTTTGTAGCTGCTCTAGTCACACTCATTTATCAGCTTCTTTTCACATGAAAGTGTTGAACCCTGTGTCACCGCCTCTGAGATCCTGGGCGCTCATCAAGGAGGGGCAAGGTGGGAGCAGGGGTGAGGCAAGGAGAAAGGGAGTGACAGTGCCATTGTTGAAGAGTCCTACAGGGACTTTCTGAGCATCCAACTTTAAAACCCTCTGCCTCCATACCTCTAATTTGTCTCTGAAAGAGAGGGCTCCTGGGAATTAGGCAGACAGCCCATGTCCCCTTTAAGATGTCATGTAAACTAAGCAATAGAACATGGTTGTACAAGTGTGCACACCAACTCATCCGCTACCATGAATCCATTCAGACTCCTCCATATCTGAATAGGAA